GCATAAGAGAGCCTGGAGGAATCCCTTCCTATATGGGTATTAAGCAAGGAAGGGAGGAGCCATTTGGTTTGTTTATCGATCGAGTAGCAAATGCCATACAGGTGGCCGGGGTGCCTGACTATCTCAAAAGCACTATACTAAAGCAGTGTGCTATACAAAATTGTAATCCGGCCACTCGTAACATCTTGGCTACATTACCAGGGACATGGACCATCGAGGAAGGACTAGAAAGAATGGCACAGGTACCGGTGGGGTCACAGGCAATGTTAGTGGAGGCAGTAAAGGAGTTAGGGAATAGTTTAAAGGAACACACACAGGTTACGCAGAGTCAGGCTTTGGCAGCCCTTGCTCCTTTGCAAATCTCCGTTGGACGGTCAAATGCCCGTGGCCCACCCCGTTTGCGGTGCTACCGTTGCGGCGTCATCGGACACACGAGACGGAACTGCAATGCCAACTCCGTGTGGGGCAGGAACTGTCGATCAGACACTCACAACCAAGCTGCCTGTCGTCAACCTGGATCGGGAAACGGACGACCCAGCGGGAAGAGCCGCCCCGCGCCGACACACAAAGCGGCTGCCTGTCCAGCAGCGCACAACCCCTTCCTCTCCAGCCAGCCACAAGTGGAAGCCTCGGACTGGACCTGGCAACAGCAGTAGATTGCACCCTATTGGACTCAAAACCTGTCAGGATTGCTACCGGCACACAGGGACCAATCTGTATTAATGGACAACCGGTCGGAGCACTACTTATAGGGTGTTCATCTGCCACTAATGCTGGGACTTAATGTTTTGGTTGGACTGATTGATAAGGACTTTTATGGAGAGATTCAAATTATGGCTCAGACGCTGTTTCCACCACTTTTTATAGCTAAAGACACTAAGGTGGCACAGTTGATTCCCCTACCACATCTTGCGGGGGCCCTTCAACCAATGCAGGTGCAACCTCGAGGGCACAGTGGTTTTGGATCTACGGGACAAATGGCCTTGCTAACTATCGGCCTGCGCCAACAACCACGACGTTCAGTTACAGTGCAGTACGGCGACCAAACCATCTCACTTGTCGCACTTTTGGATACCGGTGCTGATGTTTCTATAATCAGTACACGGAAATGGCCGGCTCTATGGCCAACATACCCGACCAATGCCACAGTTGTGGGAGTAGGAGGATTGACTCTTGCTCATAAATCACCCCTTTTGCGATGGACTATAGAGAACAAGGTGGTAAACTGCTGTGTTTCTATTATCCCACTGCCTGAAGGGGTGCATGCTCTGGTAGGACGTGATATCCTGGCACAGATGGGAATGGTCCTTACCTCGGACCTCCCTTTTTAGGGTCGGCCATTGCTTGGACTTTCCCGATCCCCCTTCGCTGGAAATCAGAAGAACCAGTGTGGATAGAGCAATGGCCGCTAAAAAGGGAAAGTCTGGAACACGCACACGAACTGGTCCGAGAACAATTTCGCCAGGGTCACCTGCGTCTATCAACAAGCCCTTGGAATACTCCCATCTTTGTCATCAAGAGGAAGTCAGGAAAATATCGATTGCTTCACGACCTGCGAGCTGTGAACAAACAAATGTACGACATGGGGGCATTACAGCCTGGCCTACCCAATCCGGCTATGATGCCTGAAGGGTGGCATCTGCTCATTGTGGATTTGAAAGACTGCTTTTTCACTATTGCCCTGCATGAAGATGATAAGCAAAGATTTGCCTTTACCCTTCCTGCGATTAATCGAGAAGGGCCTTGAATGGACAGTCCTCCCGCAGGGAATGCGAAGTTCACCCACTTTGTGTCAGATTTATGTTGATGCCGCCTTGCAGCCACTGCGACAAAACTGGGCCTGTACTCTAATCTATCATATGGACGATATTTTACTGGCCCAACCGACACCCTTTTCCATGCAACAAAAGCAGGAACTAACAACACAGCTCAGACAGAGAGGTTTAGTAATTGCGCCGGAAAAGGTACAAGAGACAAGCCCCTGGAAGTACCTAGGATGGCGTATCACCGACATGACAATCCAGCCTCAGAAACTATCCTTGCAGCTGGATATTCGGACTCTCCATGATGCCCAACGGCTGTTGGGTGACCTGCGGTGGCTTCGACCTGTTACAGGGATCCCCAATGAACTACTGAATCAACTGCGCCCCCTGCTGCGGGGAACGGATCCTGCAACGCCGGTGCAGCTCACTGAACAACAAAGACAAACGCTGCAACAAATCGCTTCTGTGGTAACCACACGCTCCACACATCGCCGTGTTGAAGGTCTGCCCATTGACTTGACTGTTTTATGTGGTGAGCAGTATCTTATGGCAGCCTTAACTCAGCAAAAAAATAAAAACGGGGGAGAAGCAGGGGTCCACCACTATCGTATTGGAATGGATAGCCCCTCCGCTACAACCACGGCGGACAATACAGGAAAAGATTGCCACGCTAGCAGATCTGATCAGGAAGGGTCAATGCCGTATCCTACAGGTGGATGGCACCCCGCCAAGCACAATATGGGTGCCAATAAAACAAATCATGCAGGATCTGAAACTCTCAAGCCACCACCCATGAAAGTGTTGTATAAAGATGCAAAAACAGGACAATGGGTGGGTCCTGCAGAGGTGGTTTACGTAGGACCTGGTTATGTCTGTGTTTCTACCACCACAGGTACCATTTGGGTTCCCAGCCGATGGGTGAGGCCTGCTGTCAAACACACTGACGACTACGGCCACGCCTAATGACGACGAGGGACTCCACAGAAGAGCACTACTTCGTCTGTATTGGACATTTTAGACAAAAGGTGTAAGAATGGCATCAAAATCTCACAGTTATGGGCTGTTAGCACACAAGACTGGCACAAACTATGTCACCATTTTAATAATATGTATCCTCATCAAAGGCGAAATAGAGGGCACTGCTGTCAAAATTACACCGCACAATCTCATTGATCCTCGCGAGAATGTATGGGTGACTTTAGCCCGGTCACTCAATACAACCAGTTTCTGTGCCAGCCTGGCATCACCCAGATCCCCATTCACCACCTGTCTTATAGGAGTGCCTTTAACCAGTGCCACCTTTGTGATGTTCAATCAATCTCTCTCAGAATTGCGATTGCAATATAATGTGGCTGGTAAACTTCCGTTCAATTGGAACAACACCTCCGACATGTTTGATGAGTATGATAGTTGGGATGATAAACTCCCAATAGGTCCTGAGCCACAAGAAATTGATCTAGCGGCCTCCCTTGACGCTAGCTGTTGTATCTATATCGGTCTGAGGCACTGGTCAGGTGGTGAAAAGAAGGGGCGCTGGGTCAATGAGTCAGTCCCCACAAGCCCTACTCCAATAGGCGATTCCACTACATGGGAAGATACACGGTGCCAGAGACTGGCCCGCAACAAGAGCGATTCGGGCCCTGGCACCATGCTGCCCAGGCGCCTCCCTAAAGGATTCTTTTTAATATGTGGCAGGAATTCCCTCCAACCCTCAGGGAGGGCTGTGCACAATAGGTCAACTCAGTTTAGGCGCGCCGCAACACCACCCTAACTCGACTCACATATATCGCTTTAAAAGGGGTTTTACACAGGCTTTACAATCAACCTGTAACGATGATGTTGCACTTTGGAGTAAGTGGAAGATTATATTCACATCTTTATTTACACCAGGCGTCACTGCGGCTCAAGCTCATAAAAATATAGAAAACTTGGCATGTTGGGTTGTGAAGCAATCCAACGCCACGAGCAGAGTTCTCTCAGAGTTGTCAGAGGACCTGTCAAGGGTACAGCACGCTGTGCTACAGAACAGAGCCACGATAGATTTCCTGGTACTAGCCCACGGGCACGGCTGTGAGGATTTTGATGGAATGTGCTGTATGGATTTATCTGACCATTCTAGATCTATTCATAAAGAAATCCAGGACCTCATAGGGCACTCCCAGAAGGTACAGCAAGATACTGGGTTCTTTGGTCTAGATGCTCTGGGAAACTGGATGGGGTTAAGTGGATGGCTTAAAAGTGTGTTACAACCAGGACTGTTGATCTTAATCATAATAGTGATAGTATTACTCTGCTTGAGCTGTGTGTCTTCTTGTATCAAAACTCTTTTTATGAGAATTATTAATCAAGCTTATATCACCCAAAATAAAAATGGGGGAATTGTGGGAGACTGGCTAGATGAGAAGGGTCACGTAGACATGGGCCAGCTAGCCCAGCAAGAGCTTAATGAGCACCGTGTTCAGCTTATCTAACTCCCAATAACTGCAAGGCCTTGAAGTTGTTCTTCTGGCCTTGAAGGCAGCTGTGGTCCAACAACAGAATGTCTGTGATAAGGTAAACATGTAACTGTAAGAAAGGAATTTCGGGCGGAACTGTCTTTTTAGAACTAACCAATAATGAGCTCTCATTTTGCAATATGTATGAGCTAATTATGAGTGTGCATAAAAGAATGGTAGTGTGTCTAAATAAACGAAGCTTGCTGGTCACTCATATTGAGTGCTCTTGTCTTCCCTCCGTCGCAACAACCCCCCATTGCCCCAGTCCCATTGAGTGACCTAGAATCCCCCCATGATGGCCCCACATCCACTTTAGCACACCCCACAACCACCACATGGCCCCCCGCTGGGAGCCCCAGTGACCCCTATACTGGGAGCACTGGGGATGCCTGTACTGGGAGGGATGGGAGCAGTGCTTGGCCCATACTGAAAGCACTGGGAGCCCTGGTATCCTATAGTGGGAGCACTGGTGCCCCGTACTGCGAGCACTGGGAGCCTTGGTGTCGCATACTGGGAGCACTGGTATCCCCATACTGGGAGCACTGGGGGCCCTGGTGTGCTTCCCAGGTGAATAATCACAAAAAGGAGCCTTTTGGCTGCTCTTTGCCCAGAAAAGGGATGTCTGCAGTTTTTTGAGGGGTCACAGCCCCCGGGACCCAAATCCCGGTCCCCTGAACCCAAAATCCCCACACAAACCCCCAGACCCAAACTCGCTGTCTCTGGACCCCAAACCTGCCCCAGGACCAAAAACCTTCACCACTGGAAACCGAGGAGGAGCCCCAAAATGCCCCCAAATCACCCCG